GTTCACTCTCTGAAAGCTCTTGCGCCTGCCAGCTGTCTGCCTCCAGGTTTACATCATTTTCAGCAGGATAAACAAAAGGAAGTGAACACAAAACTGATTTAATCCTAAATGTTCTCTGGGATTAAGTGTACTTTCAAAAATAAGGATTATCACTGCACTCTAATAGAGGTATCACAGGAACCCGTGTAAAGCTAAACCAGATGAAGGGAAGGCTCAATCTCCTGCAACGGCAAAACTGTATCAGCTTGTTTAAATGGTTGTGTGTGTGGCTCTGAAAGAGGGGAGAGCAGGAAAAGTCCTCTAAGACATGCATCATCTCTCAACAATGACCAAGCAAAAAAGAAATGCATACGTAGGATAAAGCCCAGCGCTGCAGCCTTCAAAGAGAAACAATGCCTGTTGCGTTGCCTCTAATCTTTTGACAGCTCTGTTGTTGACAGCAACAGTGTCCTCTGCTCTCGTTGCTGGTTGATTCAATGTGCCTCAGAGCTGAGGCAAGTTTAAGTTACAACCAATCAAAGTGAGTGGCTTTCTTTCAACTTTTTAATTCCCTGCTTTGAACATGAATCAGAATGATTTGAGTGTTCATACGTTTCAATTCATGTATTTGCTGAATGTTAAAAATGACTTTTTCACTGAGTCATCTGACACACTTATGCAGTGATTGTCTGGGTGTGAGAATAAAAGCAGTCAACACTATAAATGCCTTTGAGGAAAACCTAAAAGCATCAAATAATGAACCCATTTTAAGAACTCTGGTGTTTTACCCCATCCAAAAGTTTGTCTCTGCCTTCACACGTATCCCCTTGAAACACCAAACAAATCCTTCTATGATGCAGTCGACAGAATCGGTTCCTTTCATGAATACATCCCATTGCACAGATTTTAAGGTGCTTCTCGAAACTCTCAGGCCCATAGTAAACCAATACCAACAGTACAACTACTGTATTTAGGACACAAGGCCAAAAAGTAGCAGAGGTCAGCAGTCAATCATCTGCAAACCTACTAATAAGCCCGCATCACTTCCCAGCGTTGAGCTTTGTGAGACGTTCCACGCCATTGTGCACCCACCTGGCAGCGAGATGGGTGACAGCTCGTTATAGCCCCCGAACGAGGCATTGCGGATGAGTTTGCGTCCGTCCGGGTGTGGAGGTCGAAGCGATGCTGTCCCGCCGCACGTGGAGAAACGGCGACGACTAAGCAGGCCTTCCTCCTTCATCATGAGGCCGGCAGGAGCTCCCCCAACGGGAGGGAAGGAGCGAGGGGTGGGTAAGGAAAACTTAAAGGTGGAAGGTCGAAGGGTATC